TCCAACTCAAACTATTCTATGATTCTACACAGATGCAAAAGCTCTGGCAAGAACTACCACAAAACACACCTCTCGAGCACTCACTCAACCCATGAGAAATGCAAGAATCTATTTGTTTCACACCTATTAGAAACTCCAAGGGGCAGCTGTGACAGTTGCGTTCAGGTGACTTGTTGTAATTTGACCCTGCCATGAGGCCCTGAAGCAATAGTAGGGAGATAAAAGAACCATCTGCCATTTTTGCCTACATTTAGGATGGGGTTTTTTTGGAGTCTTTCACACAACAGACTAAGGATCAGAGTTTAGCTGGTTTAAATACATGGTTCCAATAAGAGAGTTGGTGAACAAGTGCAAGCCAAGACAGCAATCCCATCAAAAACCTTCCAAGTAAGATGTCCAGACACACACAGCTACTACAGTTGTTGGATGAAATTTTACCTACTCAATAGAACGCCAAACTGTTTGAAATAACAACCCGGCATCCACAGAGTGACTAGATGACCAAGATTAGTCTCTATAAAATAACCACTCGGAAGATCTTTAGCAGTCCAAAGAAACGTTTTTCCTGTTGGAGGATGTGAATAGGTTTACAATCATCTGGACTGTCACGTTAATTGACTCTGCCTAAGCAAAACTACTATTTTAGCCTTTTCCTTAGAGTTGCAGATCTGAACAGTAATATAGAGTTAATCAACACAGCTATACAGGGAAATTGTTGTTGCTGTTTTTAAAACATACTCTGATGTTTTAATAAGCCTTACTAATTTGATTGATACAGCTAAAAATCATTATGCTGTATGTTTGGACTTCCAGATTTTATTTCATTGGATATTTTATGACATTTCATTCATGTAAACTAAGATGATAACAAATTAATACAATAATCAAATTATGTTTTAATGGATGCTAGAAGTGGCTGCTAGGCTGACACTACTCCAAGTTCTCTTACTCAGTAACCCAGAAGTAATAATTTTGGATTAAGTCCTCCAATTTGCACCACTATCAGGATGAGAAAATAAGAGAAAACAGATCTGTACTGCAACCAAGTGCATATATTTGAAATGTATAATCTTAAATGTACGATGTGTTCTCTCAAGATAGCTTATCTGAGTTCTAGAAAAAACACAACTCTTATGGAGAACAACAAAAAGAAGCAGGGGGATGATGACACCTAATAAAATCCAAGTGCAAATCTGAGGTCATCTCATCAAATTATTTCTGGGATGCTTCCAAATCATGGATTGCTTTTAACATTTGAAACCACCTCCAATTATTACATGTTATCATTGTGATCCTCCTTGTGGTTTCAGTGACAGGTTTTGGGCTCAGTCACTAAATGATTTAAAGAATTGGCTCTGCAAACAAGATTTGTAGAAAATACTAAGCTCCCATTCTAGTTTTCCAGACTAGTTTAGATGCTTGTTAGTAGTTCCGTATGTGAGGCGTTGAGTATGAAACCACTCGCCTGACACCTAGTTCTTGTAATCTGAGCTCATGACAGAGCACTTCCCTGAAGAGCACATGGAGAGTTCACTCGCTCAATGCCTGGGAAAAATCAGATGCTTAAGTTCAAATCATCCCCACAGGAAGATCTTTTACAACAGCATCAGCATCCAACTGTTCCTTGAAACAGTGGCTACAACAGGCTCCTCTTGGAAGTACAGGGGTAAGTCGATTTTGAGTTAGCTCAGCACCGCAAAAGCAAAATTTCAAGACCCATCCCTTCAAGTCTTATAGTATTGCAGCAGGGAAAGCTGCACCTAGGATATAGGACTACATATATACATATGTGTGTGTATATATATGTGATGGTGGGATGTCTGGCTGTTAGAGAAGAAGTCGCCACTTCTTCTCTCAAAGGCACCGTTTCAGAAACCCTGGTTAAGACAGTCCTCAATAGAGGAAGGCTCACTAAACTGCTGGACACAACAGACATACCTAGCCACTGTATGCAAAACAAAGCAATAAGCAAGCAGTCTTATTTGGTATGTGCTGCGAGCATGTGGTGTGGAAAAAAAATGTAAAGTGAACACGAGTCATACAGAGCTGGTCTCGAAATCAATGAAACTGTTCACATGCCTGCTAATCTTCACTCCTAGAGCTACACAGGCAGTATCCTTTCCCCTACAATGGGGGCCCTGGAATGGGGGCAAGAACTTCAGTGGGGTTCCCTTCTCCACTTCTGATACTCCATCTAGATCACCTCTGGTGAAGTATACTTTCCATCCAGAGGCCAGAAAACTGAAAGGGCGTTTGCACATTAAAATTCCTTATGAAACCCAGAAATTTCTCTCATATCATCACAAGGTACTCAAAAAAGTTAATCCAAGAAATACTAAACAACAACAAGCTTGGTTAAGAGGAATTCAAGGTTGCCTGGCAGCTCCTCATAAGAGGACACAAACTCCAATTAACACACCAAGTAAGAACGATGCTTCTCAGGGTGATGATGGAAAGGAACACCTTCAAGGCTCCATAACCGTGTGGTACAAGAGGCATACACAAAAGCCATATTTCATTACCTTGTGGTGTTTGCATCTTGGCACCCATACTTGCCATTTGCAGATATACTAGTTTTACAAGATCTCAAAAAGGCAAAATGAACCTTCATCCACCTTGAAAGGACTAAGCAAGCCTTAGGCAAGTTGTACACTAAGTGTTGCTAGTCAGTGAAGTTTATAGTCCACTGCAGGAAAGCACACAAGTTTTTTCTACAGCATTTGTGTAATAGGATCTCAGAAAATGCTCCCCTTGCAGGATAAAAGCAGCTCTGTCTTGCGGGCAAGGGGAAATGGTTCTCACAAACCCAGCCAACAAGAACCTCAGAAAAGACTGCCTGAGTAAGGATCCACTTCAGGTTCTTTCCATCACACTGGTTTTTCTGTTTAGGAAAGATACCCTCTTCTTCCTCTCCAAGTGATCTCTGAAAAGCTCCACCACTCACCTTTGTCTGCTCTTTCCTGAGTTGCTTTAATAATGCTACGTCATCCTGGGCCTTTTCCCTCTCTTCTCTGAGAGTTTTCACCACATTGGAAGTCTGAGCGATACAGTTTTTGATGATTCTCTCTCTGCTGGTGTGAGCATCCATCAACTAAGCGTGGAGAGAAAGACAGTCACAACAACTAGTTCAGCAGAGAATAAAAACCTCCAAGTTACAAGTTTAAGAGACTTTCCGAAGTCAAGGTATTGCTGCGCCTAAAGAAATCCCCTTGACTCTATAATCCAGGTGTTGGAAGCAACACTGCTTTGAGCAGCAGCTACCAACTTGATGAAAAGTCAAAGATACACACAAGGAGGAGTCTTGTAGAGTAGCACAAAAGCATGCTAACATCCATTTTTAAAGGAAGTGGACTGGGCTACGGCCAGCCACTAAAGCCTGAAGTATACCTCGAAGGATCAGTATTAAAGACCAAATAAATTCCCCATGTGGTTTTAAACTGAAGTAGCTGTTACATGTGGGTGGTTTAGCTGCATAGAGAAGTCGAGCATGCCAGTTACGGGTACATAAAGCACGATATATCAAGGCAGTGGTTTCCCTAGAAACTGAGGATGCCCTAACTGGCCACTGCACATACTAAAACATCAGGAAGTGAGCTGAAAGTCGAAGGAGTGCACACTCACAGACTGGTACAGCTCTTTACACGTCTGGCTGGCATCAATTTTCCCCACAAAGGAAGCTGTTGGAATTGTAGTGTTTAATTCGTGGACAATTCTGTCATCGATTGTCCTCATCACCCTGAGCAACTCCTGTATTAAAAATAAAATAAAAATCTTTGTTTACATCTCTGAGAAAAGCTTACTGCAACAAAAAAAAAAAAAAAGTATTTTAATAGAA